GCGATGCACCGCCGACGCATCGGCGATGCATCGGCGGCGTCGGCGATGCATCGGCGCCGCCAGCGTGGAGAAAATGGTGCCCCACCTCGAACCGCATCGGCGATGCCTCAGGGATGCGGCGCGATCTTCCGACCCGATCCACTCGGACCCCATCTGGGAGGTCGTCTGGAGACAGAGGCTCCAGAGGAAACCCAAGCCGAAGAGAAACCGCTGGCCGACAAAACTCGTATCGCCAGAGATCTGGAGGAGCGTGCAAGGCACACCCTGGTGCGCCGCTCGCCCCCTGCCTGGGCTTCGGTTCCGCCGTACGTTGGGCGATCTTCCGCGGGCGAGGCGGGGATGTCCGCCCTACTGTTCAAGCTCATTCGATGCCGACGTTCGCCCTGCAGTCCATGCGTACTAGAAGAATCCATAAACTGGACGCAAGGGCCTTATAAACCCACGCCGACACTTTTCGAGCGGGGCGCGGCCAGCGAAAGTGGCCAAGAATGGGCCGAAGGGGAAAAATGCAGGGGCAAAAACCTGAGAAAACCGCTCATCCTGACGATCCGTGCTGAGTGTACCTTGCCGTCGCTGTCTCCGCCAAATACCTTTGATGGAACATCCGCCGTGCTGCTGTGTCGGGCGCACATCCGACAGCAATTTTCACTCGGAGAATCATCCCATGCACGTTGTGGATGCCACGACAATGGACACCCTAACAGTCCTACCATTGAATTTTAATGTGCCTAAACCGTCGGGAAATGTTCTAAACATGTGCTAACTAGGTTTCTTAACATGTTTCAAGCATGCTTAAGACATGTTCTAGACACCTGGCAACTATTCTGAAGTCGGGCCTGTCCCCCTACAGGGGGGGGTGTCGACGAAAAATAAGACATACCCTAAACATAATAAAACATAGTCCAAACATAATCTGGGGACTATTTTCTAAGTATTGTTTTGCCCTTTGGGGGTACTTTTGTTGTTTTTTTCCCATCTTTCGTCAAAAATCCCCCTGTAGGGGGGGGGGACACGCCCGACACAAAAAACTATTCGGCAGCACGCTTCCTCTCCACCGTGATCGTCCTCCGCAGCGCGCACGGCCGATCCGAAGCCAGGCCGGCGGCCCTGGCGCGCCTCCGCGCGCGCGCCCCTGCGCGCGCCCCGCGGGCGCGGGAGAGCGACCCTGCACGGGGAGACCGGGAGCGGCGACCAGGGGGGGCTGCCGGGCTGGGAGGCTGCCCCGACTCCGGATCCGCCCTGCTTTGGGGAAATTCGTGAGCGCAGGGCTTTGGAGTTCCGCCTTGCTTTTCAAGCCCCGCTGATGCCAATTTCCGCTCTGCTGTTCTGTTGCTGTTTCCGCCCTACTTCTGTGGATGGCCGCCCCACTTTATGTTGGGTGCAAAAATTTCCGCCCTCTTTTCGGCCTCTTATAGGTGGATTTCCGACGCAATTTTAAGTTGGAGAAAAAAGCCAAAGTAGGGCGGATCTGGAGTCGGGGTGCCGGCAGACCTTCCGAGCCGGGCGACGAACGAACGTCGTGGTGGCCGCGGTTCGTCGTCGTCCTCGACCTGCAGCCCCCAGAGCCCCTCGCGGAGTGTGAGCACAAATCACGACTGGAGGCTTTTCGCTATTTCGGCTTCCTGGGAGCCCGTGCCGGGCCTCGGAACCGTCAAAAAGCGGCTCCGAACGAAAAACCGGTCCCAGGGAAGGGGTCCACACCTCTGGGGGTCGACGTTGTGAAAAAATCACGACGTCGGGGGCCTGGGTGCACCTCCCGCACCTTCCGCGCGGCAGGTGCCGCGCTGCCGCGGCCGCCGCCGCGGCCGCCGTGGTGGCCACTGTCGAGGCCGCAGCGGCGGCCGCGGCGGCCGCCGACCGCGGCCGCATCGCGGCGGCACCTGCCGCGCGGAAGGTGCGGGAGGTGCAGGTCGAGGGGCGGCCGCGGTTTGCCGTCGTCTACGGCCCCTGGAAGCCGCTTCCCGGCTCTCCGGGCAGTCAAAAAACAGTTCCCTGACTCCGGATCCGCTTTACTTTGGGCAATTTCGCAAGTTGGGCCTGGAATTCCCGCCACACTTTTCAAGCCTCGACGATGCCAGTTTCCGCCCTCCTGGACTTGACCAGAAACGTCAAAAAGTGAGGTGCAACTATCAGCCTTGCTTCTTGGGGGCGGAAATGTCCGCCCCACTTTTTCGGCTTCTTAGATGTGGACTTCCGACGCAATTGTAAGCTGGAAAAAAAGCCAAAGTAGGGCGGATCCGGAGTCAGGGCGAGTCGTTTCTTGCCGCTCCCGAGGCCCGGCGAGGGGCCGCCGGAGGCCGAAAACGGCGAAACACCTCCCGCGAGATTTTGTCACAACGCGCGGGGGTCTGGGAACCCAGACCCCCGGCGTCATGAATTTTTCATGACGTCGACCCCCAGAGCTCTCGACCCCTTCCCCAGGACCGGCCCAAGGGAAGGGGTCTTGTTCCCGAGCGGCGGGCAAGGACAGGCCGGGGGGGGGGCGTGCGCTTCCTGCCTGCCCGTGCACCGCTCGCCTGGCAGCGCCCGCGCGTCGGCTGCGGACGCGGTGCGCACTCGCCACCGCGGCGATCAAAAAGCTCATCGTCTCGTCGTCTCGTGGTGGTCGTCGTCTTCGTCGTCAATATCGTCGTCGTAGTCGGCTTCGTCGTCGTCGTAGACTCGATGTCTCGTCGTCGTCGTCGTCGTAGTCTCGTCGTCTCGTCGTCGTCGTGTCGTCGTCGTAGTGTCGTCGTCGTAGTTTCGTCGTCCCGTCGTCTCCTCGTCGTCGTCGTGTCGTCGTCGTCGTCTTCGTCGTCGTCTCGTCGTCGTCGTCGTCGTCGTCGTAGTCTCGTCGTCTCGTCGTCGTCGTCGTCTCGTCGTCTAGTCGTCGTCTCGTCGTCTAGTCGTCGTCGTAGACTCGTGGTCCCGTCGTCGTCGTCGTCGTCGTCGTCGTAGACGTCTCGTCTCGTCTCGTCATCGTCGTCGCCTTCTCGTCGTCGTCGTCTCGTCGTCTCGTCGTCTGGTCGTCGTTGCCTTCGTCTCGTCGTCGTCGTCGTGTCGTCGTTTTCGTTGTCGTCGTCGTCTCGTCGTCTCGTCGTCTCGTCGTCGTCGTCGTAGTCTCGTCGTTTCGTCGTCTCGTCGTCGTCGTCGTCGTCTTCGTCGTCGTCGTCGAGTCGTCGTCGAGTCGTCCTCTCGTCATCTCGGGGTCGTCGTCGTCTCGTCGTCTCGTCGTCAATGTCGTCATCGTAGACGGCGTCGTCGTCGTCGTAGTCCCGTCGTCTCGTCGTCGTCGTCGTCGTCGCCATCTCGTCGTTTCGTGGTCGTCGTCGTCGTCGTGACGTCGTCGTCGTAGTCTCGTCGTCTCGTCGTCGTCGTCGTCGTGTCGTCGTCGTCGTATTCGTCGTCGTCGTGACGTCGTCGTCGTAGTCTCGTCGTCTCGTCGTCTCGTCGTCCTCGTCGTAGTTTCGTCGAACTCTCGTCGTCTCGTCGTCGTCGTCGTCGTCTCGTCGTTGTCTCGTCGTCTCGTCGTCTCGTCGTCGTAGTCTCGTCGTCTCGTCGGCTCGTCGTCGTCGTCGTCGTCGTCGTCGTCGTCGTCGTTGTGTCGACGTCGTCGTCGTCGTAGTGGCGTCGTCTCGTCGTCGTCGTCGTCGTAGTCTCGTCGTCTCATCGTCTCGTCGTCGTCGTCTTCGTTGTCGTCGTCGTGCCGTCGTCGCCGTAGTCTCGTAGTCTCGTCGCCTCGTCGTCGTGTCGTCGTCGTCGTCTCGTCGTTTTGTCGTCGTCGTCTTAGACTTGTCGTCTCGTCGTCGTCGTCGTCGTCGTCTTCTCGTCGTCGTCGTCGTCTCGTCGTCTCGTCGTCGTCGCCTGCGGCTCGTCGTCGTCGTCGTGTCGTCGTTTTCGTCGTCGTCGTGTCGTCTCGTCGTCTCGTCGTTGTCATCGTCGCAGTCTCGTCGTCTCGTCGTCTCGTCGTCGTCGTCGTGTCGTCTCGTCGTCGTATTCGTCGTCGCCTCGTCGTCGTCGTCGTGTCTCTTCGACGTCGTCGACGTCGTCGTCGTAGTCTCGTCGTCTCGTCGTCGTCTTCGTCGTCGTCGTATCGTCGTCGTCGTAGACTCGTCGTCTCGTCGTCTCGTCTCTCGTCGTCTCGTCGTCGTCGTCTTCGTCGTAGACTCGTCGTCTCGTCGTCTCGTCGTCTCGTCGTCGTCGTCGTCGCCGCCGCCGCCGCCGCCGCGGCGGCCAAAGAGCGTAGAAGGTTGGACCTGCTGAGGCCGCCTTCGGACCCTGTGGACTGCCTGGGGGCGACCTTGGGGCCGCGCGTGGTCCAGGTGTCCAGGGTCCCCGTCCCCCGTGCTGCGGCTACACGCAAACAGTGAGCATACAGTCGGGGCGCTGAAGAAGGAACCCTTTTCGTTGGGGAGGGGCTCCGTGTTCCTTAATTGTTTCACAGCTTGCCTCAGGTGTTCCTTATGTTTTCGATGGGAAATCGAAGTCTAACTTGTGGAAACAAGGGGCCTCGTTCCCTATTTAGGGTTCCTTAGGTAAACGCCCCGACTGTACGCAAGAGTGACCTTTCGTGCGCGGACTGAAGAGCGCAAGGTGGCCAAACCTACGCGCGCAGGCAGCCAAGATCGCATCGCGCTAATAAGCGCTTCGGGGGGCCCCGGCGCGCCCGAACCGAAGGTGACTCCGGCGAAGAATTCGTCGAGTCCTGTGGCTGGGGGCGCTTTCCCGGGCCCAGGCCGCAGACGTCTTATGGTCTGTACTACGGGGTTCCAAGGAGTCCCGACCGTTCCAAGGAGTCCCGACCCTTTCCCTGGGGCCAGCTCTTAATTCCGAGTGCCGAGCATCATTGTTTGACGGTCCTGGGGTCTGGCGAGGGCCCCCAGGCCGAAAACGAGGAACAAAAAATCCGCGTTGAGCTTTTCAATGCGTTGCAGGTCGGGGGGGCTATCGGGCCCGTTCCCCCCGTGTCTGCGCACACACAAGATGTGCGCGTGGTTCCAGCTGGTCCGAGCCCGGCTGGCCTTGGAGGTGATCCAGAGCTCCTCCCTGGGAACCCGCGACTCCAGGATGGCCTCAGTCGGGCGGGAGGGCAGGGGGGAGGGAACAGGTGTGATGAACGATCGGGTTCCCATTGTGGCCTTCCTGTCTCAGGGTGGGCTACGCTCTTCTCTGGCGCGATGACCATGGCCGATCGGACCTCAGGAGAAGGTTGAAGAGGAGGATGGGGGAGGGGGAGGCGGGATGAGGACGGAGAGGCGGGAGGAAAGCGAGGGCGCTGCCGAGATAGAGCAGCATCTCTGCAGCTATATACCGCCAGGAGGAGGATCCAGACAATGAGGATGGAGAAGGATGAGAGAGAAAGAGGAGGATGGAGGAGGCGGCGGAAGAGGATGGAGGGACGATGGAGAAGGCTGCAGGATGGGGGGATGGAGGAGGGGGGAGGACGAGCGAGGAGGAGCAGGAGGAGGGAAAAGGAGGGAGGGAGGCGGAGCGAGAGGAGGAGCAGGCGGCAGAAGCGAGGAGCAGGGCGGCAGCCCCGCACTCCCTCGCGGAGGCGGAGGGCGCCCAGACCCCGCACCCCAGAGCCCGCCAGACGCCGGCACCGTGCCTCGAGGAGCCGCGCGACTCTCTCGGCGTGGTTCCCAGGCCTCCGTGCCCACTTCGATCGCACCGAGAAGCGCGCGGCACCTACGGCAGGAGCTCGACCACAAGAAACCTTCCGCAAGAAACCCAACCCTGACACCCCAGGAGGTCCGTCGGCTCCTGGGGTGGGAACGTCACGCCTTCCGTCGCAAAACCATCGAAACCCAGGAAACCCAGGGCACCCTGGCGGCAAGCAGGGTGTTTCTTGGCACGGGTCTCCTCTGTATACGCAACCGAACTCTATACACCGAAGCTTTTCTCCGGCCCCGCACTAACACACTTGCACAACAAAAACGGATCTGGTGCATACGGAATCCCGGTGCATACATTGTCCGGCGTTTCCAAGCGAAGGCGCGGAACATCGTATAAGTATACACCACACCACCCCGACGTCGCCCCCATCCCTCAGGAGGTCCTGGGATTTGAAAAACAGCCCGCCACTGGCAGTGTACAGTGCTCCAGATTCCGTCCCCCGGTGTCCTCTCCGTGCTCGCTCCGATCGCACCCAGCAGAGCGCGCGGCTCCCAACTGTGGCCCCACACCAACAGCGGCCGCTGTTGGGCAGGCGGCCTTCTGTCTCGCATGGGCACCGGCCGCGGCGGCGCGGACAGCGAGTCCTGTTCAAGATGAACAGGAACCGCTGTTGAGCACTGTGCCCAATCTCTCCGTGCCCATCCCGCAACCAGAAGAGGCCCGTGCCCATTGGCACCGGCCTCCTTCGGGTCGGGCGACAGGGGGGGGTAGCAAAGGGGGGGTTTGAGAAGCAGCTCACGTAGCTGATTCTCCAGGCGCCTCCCGGCGCCAGAGGCGGCCATGTATCGAGGAATGGGCCCCTCGGTGGGGCCGAAACCAGCTGCACGCAGCAGATTTCGTAACCCCCCCCCCTTTCCCAATCCCCCCCCTTTCGTCCGGCCCGACTCCTCCCCAGACATGCGACGTCTTGGTTCTTTCAGGACGGCGTCCCTGGAAGTCCCGACCCATTCCCCAGGACCGGAGCTTCATCCGGAGTCGTTTTTCGACGGCCCCGAGGCCCGGCGAGGGCCCCGCGGGGCCCGAAATGGCCCCGAACCGCCCGCCTGGATCTTCTCACGACGCGATCCTGTCTGGGCCTCTGGTGCCCTCTCCGTGCTCGCCTCGCCCGCACCCCCCGCCGGCGCGCGCGGCCCCCCTCCGAGAGGGCCCCGGGCCCGGCCGAGCTCGGCGTGGTTCCCGTAGAGCTGCGCGGTGTCCACGTGGCGGCCCCCGAGCGCGAGGTAGGCCTCGCGGCGCCCGCGGGGCGGCGCGGGGCGCACGGAGACATGCTAGGAGGAGGAGGGGGAGGAGGGGGAGGGGGAGGAGGAGGAGGAGGAGGAGGAGGAGGGAGGAGGGGAGGAGGAGGTGAGGAGGAGGAGGGGAGGAGGAGGAGGAGGGGGAGGAGGAGGAGGAGGAGGAGGGAGGAGGCGAGGGGGAGGAGAGGAGGAGGAGGAGAGGAGGAGGGAGGAGGAGGAGAAGGAGGAGGAGGAGGAGGAGGAGGAGGAGGAGGAGGGGGAGGAGGAGGAGGGGGAGGAGGAGGAGAATGCTGTCTGTCTTCTCTCGGAGGCGCGCGTCCACGTCGAGCATATAGTACACCCAGAGCTCCAACGCATTAAAAAAAAATCACGACGGAGGTTTGTCGCAGATTTCGGCCCCCATGGGGCCCTCGCTGGGCCTCGGGCCCGTCCAACAACGACTCGGGACGAGAATCTGGTCCTGGGGAATGGGTCGAGGCTTCCGGGGACCGCGCATTGAAAAAATCACGACATCGGATCTCTGGGTACCCATCTTGTAGCATATCGTTACCCGAGCGGTGTGGCCAGAAAGCGCCCGCCACGACGCATATACTAGAAGATTTCTCGGCGCCGCCCCTGGGGGGGCGACGCACCTACAGCATAAGTGTGTTGGGGTGCGCGGCGGGCGCGGCGGGGGGCTCGGGCTTCCTTGAAGGGGGCCCAGGAAAGAGACACAAATCCCCGGATCCCCCCTACTTTCCCATATTTGTTCTGGGTTTTCGTCTTCCCCCCACCTCCTAAATTTTCCCATGTTCTCCCGGGATTCCACGATCAATTATGCCTCTGTGTGTCTTTTCCCCTCCCGCTTCCTGCCGTCGATCGAGGGGAGGACCACCGCACGTCAAGGGCGGGGCCCGGCGAAGGCGACGAGGACGACAGCGCAGTTTGAACCAGACTGAGGGGGCCGAACCGTCATCACCGTCCCTGGGTGCGTGGCTGACGTGGAAATCCGCGGCGCGGATTCTGCTTGGTGCTGTTTGTTGCAGTCGTCTCACCCGCGAACCGCCCCGCGACCCACACGCGACCCACCCTGCGACCCACCTGCGATCCACCCGCGACCCACCCCGCGCCCGCGCCCTCACTCTCATCCGCAACTGCGGGTTGCTACAGTATGTTTCATGAAGCAGCATTGAGAACCATGCCATGAAGCATTCCCAAGCGAAGGGTAAGTACAAATGCCACACTCGGAAGCTGACGTGTCACAAATGCCTCACTGTCACGCCGCAGAGCGCGATACCCGTGAGGGCTCGTTGATGCCTCCCCCGGTGGAGGCCGAGAGCTGGGCTCCTACTGGCATTCGGGGACACGTTCTTCGCCGGTCTCTGCGGGTCCAGAGGTGCCCCCCAGCGCGTGCGGGTCCCTGGAACCATCGGGTGACAGGAGTCAAGAGCTTCCCGTGGGGCACCTGCCAGAAGGCCGATGTCTTATGTGATGCGCCTCATGCATAAAAGGACAAACAACTGCATTAGCATGATCGTTCGGAGGCCCGCGCCGATTTCTCGGGTCGGCGATGTGCCCCGCCCCCCCCCCCCCCCTGGCGGCGACTCTGGCCCCGCCCGACCCAAGAAATCCCCGCGGGCCTCCTACAATTTATGGTTTTACGCAATTCATTCATTCATTATTGCGCCCTGCTTGGGTTACTGCTGCCAGTTCCCCCAAAATCATAAGCCGCCAGGCTGCGAGCGGTGCAGCAATCGCCATGCTTTTCTGCGCCCGCCGTCCTCCGTGAAGCTCCCATCGGTCGGTGGTCCAGCTCGTCCTCCGTTACCTAAGCAGGCCCACGCGAGACGACAACCCATTCACTACAGCCCACGCGGTAGCAAACTCATCCGCTGGCATTCTGTTATACCTCACAGGCAATCCTTCGGCTGATGCCGACGTTAAGGGGGAACTTGCATGTCGATTGGAATTGCGTTAGCGTCTTGCTTTGCGATTCGATTGCGGTTGGGTTTCCATGTAGATGTTCATTCCGATCGTAACTGGGTTTGCATGCAATGTGCCTCCCGAAGGACGTTTCGATATGCATGTTGGTTTTCGGCGTGATGTGGATTCCGACTTGCGTGCCGATGTGCATTTCGATGTTCAGTTCGATGTGCATGTCTAGTTGCACTCAGTTTTGCATTCCAAGTGGCATTCGGACTTGCGTTCCGAATTGCAATCTAAGGTGAATTCGGATTTGCATTCCGAATCGCATTCGGAATTGCAATTGGATTAGCGTTCCGACTTGCTCGCTCGTTGACATTCCGACTTATCTGTGTTATTTCATTTCGACTGGAAGTGGATGTTCATCTCGAGTAGGAAATTCGTTTTGCATTGCGGTATGCATCTGGGTGTTCATGCCGGTTTGCCATTCGACTTGAGGTTCGATTCGCATTCCGATGTGCACATACACGGCACATGAATTGGCATTTCGAATCGCAATCCCCACGGGACAACCATGGACCAGCCCGCGGAACAAGAACGGGAGAGCCCACGGGGCAACCACAAGACAACCAACGGGACAACCACGGGACAGCCCGTGGAACAACAACCCACAAGACATCCCGCAAGACAATCACAAGACAGCCTGCGTGACAACCGCGCGAAAAACACAACACAACCACGGGACGATGTGGGGCAATCGTGGGACAACAACGGCCAGAAACCGTCCAAACGAAGGAGTCACGTGTTGCAACACTTGGCTCTCACTAAGCCAACGCATCGTCGCCCCCGCGAAGCTTCGCCTCGCCCGCATGCGCGGCAAATACCAAAACCGAAACCGATGTCCAGGTTGGGACCATGTCGTTCCTGACGTCCCAAATTCCGATACTCAAATATCTCATAGACAACCCTTCGCGTGAGAAGGTTGGGTGTAGGGGGGGGTGCGACACGTGCATTTCATGTTTGGCTTCGGTTGCGATTTGATTTGCGTTTCGCTTTACACCTTGATTGCAATCTGGCTTGAATGTCAATGTACATGTCGATTGCATGTTGTTTTCGCCCTGGGATCCATTCTTGTTGGATTTGCATTTCGACTTACATTTGAATGCGCATGTCGATGTGCATTCCGACTTGCATTCTGAATATATTTCAATGTCAAGTTTGATCGAAATTGCATTTGCATTCGTATGTGAATACTGTTGACATTCTGAATTGACGTGGCGGATTCATTTTCAACTGCAATTGGATGTTCATCTCGATTTGAACTTCATGTTGCAGTTCGGTATGCATGCTGACCTTTACTCCGACGTACACTTCGTCTTGAAATTCAATGTGCATCTCGGTCTGTTCATTCAACTTGTAATTGGATGTGCGTCTTCATGCGATCATATTCACCACGGAGTAACCACGGATTCGCAATTCGACAAAAGCGTGACAACCCACGGGACAACCTAAGGACAGCCCATGGGACAACTGCGGGACAAACCACGGGACAACAGCCCACGGAGCAACCACGGAACAATCGTGGGACGGACACGGCGAGCAGACGCCTGGCAACAGAAACCTGTTGGACGACTTGGCTCCAGGGACTCCCGCACATACCGCTCTCGCACAGCTCCGCCTCGCCCGCGCGCACGCACGACACGGACAGGAACAAACTTCTGGGCTAGACTCAGTCGCTTCCTTCTCTACGGCCCCCACGGGAGGGGGAGGAGGAGGAGGAGGAGAAGGAGGAGGAGGAGGAGGAGGAGGAGGAGCGAGGAGGAGGAGGAGGAGGAGGAGGAGGAGGAGGAGAAGGAGCGAGGAGGAGGAGAAGGAGGAGGAGAAGGAGGAGGAGAAGGACGAGGAGGAGGAGGAGAAGCGAGGAGGAGCGAGGAGGAGCGAGAAGGTGGAAGAGGAGGAGGAGGAGGACGAGGAGGAGAAGGAGGAGAGAAGGGGGGAGAAGGAGGAGGAGGAGGAGGAGGAGGAGGAGGAGGAGGAAGAGGAGGAGATCGTTGGGGCCGTAGAGGAGCCCCTAACCTCCGATTTTCAAAGAACCTGCGGAGCCCGACGGCCCCGCCTTACAACCAATTGAGAATGATCCCGTCGTTCGCGGCTCTGCGGCGACGCGCTGCCCGTTGGCGTCTCCGGCGCCTTCGATGACAAGTGCTGCCCACGACGCAGCGCGTTGCACGCGCACAGACCTGCCTGGTCGCCACGCCTTCTGTAGACGAGCGCGTTCCACGACTCGCAAAGTCACTGCTCGCAAGTGGCCTGGATCCCCCGCGGGGGAGCTACGATGAATGACATCAAAGCAGACATGTGTTTGTCGGACGCTTGCGAGTAGGCACTTTGCGAGTAGTGGAACGCGCTCGGCGACTCTGGGCCGACACGCGACCAGCCTCAGATGAGGCCGACAGCTCTGCCAGCGTGCACGGGGATCTCGGCAGCCTCAACGCCAGGCGAGCCCGTCTCGCGCGGGCCTCTCGCGTGGTCAGCAGGCTACCCGCCCGAACCTTCCACGCGCTCGGCGGCGCTTCACCTCTCTCCCTCTCCTTCCGCGGCTAGCCCAACTGTCCCGATGTCCTGATCCGATGGCTTCCTGGACGATTGGTGACTGGCCCGCTAAAGCGCACGCTCGGATGACATATTGAGAAGCACTGGTGCCATGCTTGGCTGCAGCGTGGGCGCGGGGGGTTGTTGCTCCGCGCAGATCCAAGGGCATCAACCCAACAATTCCAGGATCTATAGCTAAGGGTGGACGGAAGGGGTAAGGATGCATGTCCAGACATGTGATGCTTTGTTGTTATGATTGCGAGGTCCTGGAAATCCCGACCCTTATCCCCAAGGGTGGTTTTTAATCCCGAATTGTTTTTGACTGTCCTGGGGCCTGACGAGGGCCCCTGGAGGGCGAAAACGGCCAAGAAACTCTCGTCGAGAAACTTTTCACCTCGCGAGCATGTCTGGGCGGATAGCCTAAGCAGACTGCGATAGGCTTTGGCTGCTGAAGGGCTGCCCAACCGAAAACGGCGAGTGCCGCGAGCCCATTGCGCATTTCTTCAAGATTGTGTCGCGCCTGCGTGCGCACGACTCCCGCGGGCAAGCTCGCCGCGACTCACACAAGAGACTATTACGGACACCGGGCACGGCTAGGAAGCGAGAGTTCGGGGGGGCGAAAGGACATGGTATAGGATAGCAGGAGGGCAGGGTAGAGAAGCAACTCACGTAGGTAGCTGGGTTTCCTGGGGCCACCTGCGCCAGGCGGCGCCCATATGTCGAGGAATGGGCTCGGCGGCGGGGCGGAAACCAGCTGCACGCAGCAGATTTCGTAGCCCCCCCCCCTTCCCCATCCTGCCCTGTCGTCCGGCCCGAGGAAAGGAGGACAGGAGGCCAGGAGGAGAGAGACCGACACGGCCCCCTCGACCTCGCCCCGCGCACGACCGCGCAGCCGGGGCGACGTGGGGGGGGAGAGCGCCGCAGGCCGAGAGAGACGAAAAGTATGAATGACTGGGGGGATGAGAACGAGGAGGAGGGCAAGTAGCAGAGGCGAGGGGGAGGGGTGGAGGAGGACGAGGAGGTCGACGGAGAACTCCCCTCCCCTTCCTCCTCCTCCTCCTCCTCCTCCTCCTCCTCCCCCTCCTCCTCCTCCTCCTCCATTCCTCCTCCTCCTCCTCCTCCTCCTCATCCTCCTGCTCTCCTCCAACCTCGCCCCCTCCCCACGCCAAGAGGAGGAAGAGGAGCAGAGGAGCCGAGGAGCAAAGGACCGCCGACGGAGGCACGCCCGAGGGCCCCCCTCCGACGGCGTCTGTGGCCCTGCCGCGCGCTCAGAAGATTCCGCCGCCGCCGCCGCCCAGCGGTTGGGCCGCCCAGGGAGGCGCGAGACCCGTGCCCGCGCCCGCTGCCGGGTCGGCTGGAGGCCGCCCAAAACCCCGATCTCCGGCGGCGTTGAGATGTTTCAAAATCCTGGCGGCGCGTTTTCCCGTGGTATTCATATTTTTCCCCCCAGCGCACGATATTCGTTTTGTCTTCGTTTCCCGGAGCAAAATGACGCCACAGATGAGGAAAAAGACGCGTCTCAAATGCAACCTCTCTTTGTTGCACCATACCGAGCACACCATGCACCATCCCGGCGTGGAATGCTCGGCCCTCGGGGCCCGTTTCCGGGCCCCAGGGCAGGCAGAGGCGAGGTCCGGGACGACAAACGCTGCCCCAGGGGGAGGCGGTGTCGGGGCATCTGGGGCCGCGGATGGAACAGATCACATCGGCGGATGTCAGGGGCTGGGTCAGCTGGAGGCCGCCCCAACGTGGTCCGAGCGGATGGGGTCGCAGGAAGGCGCCGCGTAGCCGATGCATCAGCGATGCATCGGCGACGCTGGCATGGAGAAGCCCGAGCTCCGAATCGAGCCGCGTCGCCGATGCGTTCGCGATGCGTCCCGATCCTCCGACCACATCTACAATACGCATCGTTTGGAAGAAGAAGGGAGAAACATTAAGCCAGAAAGCGTCGAATATCGATTCAGTTTCCGTCCGCCAACTGAAATCGAAGGAACACGGAAAGCAATTCGATGATTGACGTAGGAAGGCACCTAACGTAGATCGGCACTTTGGGCTCAAGCATGGCACTCCACCATTGCGGCATAAAACCATAAACATTTTTACATATGGGCGGCGACGGCCGCGATAGGGGGCTCACGATGGGGACTAAGATGAGATGGGCCACCGATTCCAGGGGACTGGCATCCCTCATCGGGCGTTGGAGAAATTCGATAGAACCCTTCATCTACAGACAAACTGTTCTTGGGGTGAGACCACATGTACCAACCCCCGACGTTATGAATCCATCATGTCTTGGACCCCCAGGGGTCTGGACCCCTTCCCAGGAGCCAGTTTTTCTCTCAATAACCAGCCTCGAACTTTTTCCCTATCCCTAAGATGGGCGAGCAAACAGCAAGGACAATCTTAGGGATATGCCTTCAGAAACTAAAGGAATCCTTAAGATCGGCATCGAGGTGAGGATGCCAAGCACAGGGATAGGGATATGTTCCAAACTGGTGACCCAACGGCTGCCATTGACGGCCCCAGGGCCCGGCAGAGGCCCCCAGAGACCGAAAACAAAAACAGAAAAGCAACCCGTCTTGTCTTTGCTCATGCTGCGAGGGGGCCTGGGCTCAGCGAGCGATGGGCACGCGGACCCCCCATCTGGGCGGCCCCGATCAGCTCGCCCGGGCGCCCTAGTGCCCCCCGCCGGGCAGCTTGCTGGTCACCGCGGCCTGCCGAGGAGGGCCAGCACAACGGAGGGTCGTCGGCAGGGAAGGGCCCCTCTGACTCGAGTAGGGGGTCGGCTACAACATTGACTCACCCCCAAGTCAATTTTCAATCGAATCTACTGAAAACAACACGTAGGATGCTCCGTATAGATCAACGGCACATTCTGCGTTCTTTCTTTTTCGTAAACGGAAAAATAATTCGGGGGCGTATCAATTCTGTAGTCGACCCGTGCACGACTGACGCCCGCCGATGCGAGATGCTGGCGTCGCAACTTCTTCACACCCGGCGATTCCGCCCGTGCTCGGGCCCCGGGGACAATCGCAGGTCCATCCGGCCCGAAGAACGCGGCAAACTAACGGGGTCTATAGGGCGGGCTCCGGCCGTGGCCAGCCGCGCTGCTGCGCCGTTTGCCGCGACGTTTGGGCCTCAGGGGGGATGCCACGGCCACTCCCTCAGTGGTCGGGTCTTCCGGGAGCCCCGCACTGAAAACAGCAAGACGTCGCATGTCTGGAGGCGGCGGCTCCCCATAGGGCGTTTCTCACCGTCTCTGGGCCTCCGGGGACTCCTGGGTCGCTGCGGCTGGGTCCTGCTCGGGAAACGGTCGGGATGGATCCGCGGGAGGGGTCTGGGGATCCATTGTGAGCGGATCTGGGCCCGGCGGGAGAGGCGGCATTGTCCCTCCTCCGACTGCTTCATGGCCCCCGCTTCTACTGCCCAGGGCCTTCATCATCTCGCCCACCATGGGGATCAGCCCCGGCGGGAAGATATAGAAGGACTCCCACGTCTTGAAGGCCAGCTTGATCTCGCCGACGTCCACCAAAGGGACCGACTTCGGCGGAGGGTGGTGCATGATGATCCCTGCGAAGATCTTCGGCGCGTGGTCGTCGTGCGCGTGCGCGGCCAC